TTTTGCTGGGGTTTGTCGTATCCGCACCATTCCTTTAGTTGATTCTACAATTGACTGCAGTGCTTCTCTGGTCACTACTGAACAATCTACATATGTTGTTAATGAATGCGAACATCTACTTTCGTCTCCGAGTCAAGTACCCAAACTGCCTTCACCAGATATTCGTCGTGCGTTTTTTGAAGTTAGAAACAAAATCATTTGTCTAGACATGGAACTAGATTCCGCGTCACCAATCACAGTTGTGTCATATTGTTTTTACAAACAGCATTTTGGTCAGCTAACTGTACATCCTTCCGTTTACACTTTCAGCAGATACTCCAATGGTGATGTCCACATACTCGGTTTGTTATGGCTTCAATGCTCCTTATAAATAACAGGAAGTGTACAGTTGAAGTTTACGTCTCTAAAACTGATAGTAATCCTCTATTGGGGTGTAATGCAATGGTCTTATTGAACGTATCACCATGCGTCAGCCGGATGACCATTGCCAGTGTCAGCCTTCATTCATTGAGTTCCAGTTACCCAAATGTCTTTCTTCCGGATATTGGTAGAGTCCCTAAAGCAATGCACCGCATTCGGTTGAGTGCGGATTACAAACCGTTCAGCATTTCTCAACCTAGGCCTATACCTCTGGCCAAGCGAGACGCGTTGTCGCAAGCTTTGAAAAACATGGTCACGGAAGAGCTGAGAGAACGCATACAGTGTTCTGAATGGGTTCAACAACTAGTTGCCGTTCATAAGAAAGATGGCTCTATTAGTTTATGCACCAACCTTCGAGCGCTTAATCGAGATATACTTGTGGACAAGTTCCCTCTGCTTTCTATCGACAAGTGGATGGTTAAGCTATCAAAATCCAAACTTTTCAAAGCCGGATATTCGAAGTGCATACTACCACATGCCACTGACTCCAGATGGCCAACATTTGACTGCTTTTCTCACGCAAAATGGCTTGTATCAATGCAAAGTGTTACCAATGGGTCTTAGTAGTGTTCCAGCAGCTTGGCAGAAATTTATTACTCTATCGTTATCAGATCTCAAAGGATGTGTTGGGTATATGGATGATAATTGTGTTTTTGGTAGTAACCTCGCCGAACATAAGGAAAACCTTCATAATGTGCTGCATAGACTGAATGAACTAAATCTCCGCCTGAATACCAACAAATGCCAATTCGCTGTAACGGAGGTCGAGTTTATTGGACATGTTATTTCTACCTCGGGTATTAAGCCTAATGTGCAGAACACCCGAGCCATTCTCGATTGTACAAAACCATGCAACGTTACACAGATGAAACATTTCTTGGGTTTGTGTTGTTGTTACCTTCGACATTTACCGAATTTCGCGACTATTGCCGAGCCGTTACGGAGGTTGACGCGCCAAAACCATGAATTTCGTTGGGCCACTGAACAAGACAATGTTTACATGACCATACGAGCGATGATTGAATCCACTCCCAAGGTAGCGATCTTCAATGAGCACTGTCCAACGTTTGTTTCAACGGATGCTTCAGACGTTGGCTTGGGTGCAGTTCTGTCCCAGCTGCGCGATGGTGGAGAGAAAGTGACTGCGTACGCATCACGCACCTTGACTGATATTGAAAGAAATTATTCCACGGGAGAGAAGGAGGCCCTCGCATGCAACTGGGCATGTGAGAAATGGCACTTTTACTTACTCGGACGTCGATTCACTTTGCGCACCGATCATTCTGCTCTTACAACGTTACTAAGTCGCGGTAGCAAAGACCAAAAGCCGGTATGCTTGTGTCGCTGGTACTCACATTTATTGAACTATGATTATGAAATAAAATACGTGCCAGGGTGGTTTCACCAACTTGCAGATGACTTGTCGAGACTCCCACTGTCCAACGAAGGAGAAAAGGACTTTACGGAGGTAAAAATGATATCGCAGCTCTGAGACGGAACACCTACAATAACATTTAACCGGATACGACAGCACACTGACAAAGACCCTAGCGGGAGTACATATCCACTTCATGGCCTAGTCGTACCAAGATCCAACCTGAGTGACTTCCATACTATACCCTGCGGAACGAGCTTTCTACTGTGAGCAACTGCCCTGTTAGATGCCAGCAGTTTGTGGTCCCCGCAACCCTTATTCCTCTGGTGGTTGCATGTGCGCATGAACGTCATCCAGGGATTGTGCGAACAAAAGCTCGGATATGACAATCCTAGTGGTGGTCGAAGTTAAATCCCAGCGTCGAAGCGGTTAATCGGGAATGTTACGCCTGACAACAATCCGATAAAAGTGCGAGGCCCCTGAATGTTCCAGCCCAACCTATCGTGTACCCAATGAAGCCATGGGCAAAAATTGCCATCGATATTATGGGCCCGTTTGCCAATGCACCTCCGCAGAAGCGAAACGTGCTAGTGGCTACATGTGTCTAAAGCAAATGGCCAGAGGCTATTCTATGCGAGGACGTAACTACAGCCGTCATCATAAAGTGGCTCAGTTGTTTGTTTGCAAGGTACGGTTTGCCAGAAGAAATAGTCACTGATAACGGCCCACAGTTTCGAAGTAGCGAGTATGCTGAATTCCTAAGGCGCAATGGCATAAGACATACGAGGATTGTACCTTATAATCCTGCAGCGAATGAACTCGTCGAACGATTTAATCGTACTTCGAAAGAATCGCTACCAGTCCTTCGGCTTTCGGGAGGATCCTGGGATGATGCGTTGGTATCTGCATTGGAGGTATACAGAACCACGCCACATACTGCAACGGCAAGGACCTCCTCGGAGCTAATGCTGGGGCGAACAATTCGAACTCGGTTAAATACAGCCTATACATCCATAGAAACCGCCGATCACAGAGAATACGAAAGAATATAGACGCGTTGAATATAGACGCTGAATATAGACGCGTTGGAAGAACGTATCCTCCAGAGTTATATGTTAGTGTTAGAATACCCAATGCTTGGAAAAGGTGTAATGTATTCGGACCGCCCACCCGTGTAGAATCTGTGTGCACGCCAGGAACTTACAAGTTGGCTGATGGGACAAAGGTGAATGCAAGACGGCTGCATACAGCGCTTTCCCAACGTGCTATTGAACAGACGAACACATCTACAACACAGCGCTCGGTACAAACTAATACAAATTTACGACGTTCCGGTCGGATACGCCGCCCTGTCTACCGATACGCCTTAATGGATAATACCCCGTGACAATTCTTCGGGGTGCTGACATTAACTTAGATCGTTCATGGACATGTAGTGCCTATATTTTTACGAACAGAGGAGGGGACAATGTCGTGTTCAATTCGATTCGCTTATCCTACTCACACTTCCATTTAGCACTCGTTGGCCTAGCATTTGATCTTGCATTTGATTGGCTACAATACGAAGCTCCATCGACTTAATGGTACTGCGCGTGTGTGCGGACAGTTTCCTTCATACATACGTTCCGGTACTGCTCTAGTCTGTTGCATTTTCGGGATCATCATCATCATCATCATTATACACGTCAGCTAGAGGTGGAAAACACCTCAGCTACTGTGCCGCAAAACATAAAGCAAAATAAATATAACAGTTGCATGCCAGCTAAGCTACGAGCAACGGATAGGCATCGTTCCGGTAAGCTACCAGCCGGCTACTAGGCAAAAAGAAAAATTATTATGTTTTACGCCACGAAATGAGATCGTAGGTGGAGGGGGAGGCTAAAAGGGATGGGGAGGGACAAAGAAACTCACAGCGGGAACGCCACTGAGGTCGGCTCCATGTAATGTCAGCAAGTGTATCCACCTTTTGGACCCAAACCAGGGAGCCGTGACGTTCCAACCGAGGCCAGCTCAGAAGTGAGAGCCTTCATTCCTCTGGAACAAGTCATCGCTTGGCCACCCCTCCTCTTCTTCCATCCACATCCCCGGTGAGCAAACAACGCACGTCGAGGGAGTCGGTGGGCTGGCATGCGCAACACGTGGCCCAGCCATGGCAGCCTAGTGCGTGAAACGACGGTGCTGAGCGGTTCATTTCCTTTTTCTGTGCCGTAAACAATGCATCAAACACTCTCGTTACTCACGCGGGGTTCCCACCAGATGTGAGCCAAACTGCGATAGCACCGATGGTCGAACGTAACTAGCCTCTTCATATCCACCGATCTTAGGGGCCAGGTTCCGCAACCGTACAATAGGGTCTAACGTACCGCTGCATTGTACACACTAACCTTCAGGGCGAGCGTGATGTCGCTCCGCCGCCATAGGTGGCGAAGACTAGCAAAAGCACTTCGAGCTTTTGCTATACGGTTCGTGATCTCGTCTCCGATCCCAAGGGCGCTGATACAACTTCCCAGGTAGTTGAATTTCCGAACAACTTCTAACTGATCCCCACCAAGGGTCAGCGAAGGAGGCGATCCCTGCCAATCTCGGAGGAACGCTTTGCAATCCGATGGTGCAAAACAAAGCTTGAAGTGACTGACAGCCAGTGCTAATCTGTCAAGCGCGGCTTGGCACGTCTGGGAGTTGTCACAGATGAGGGCAATATCGTCTGCATACTTTAAGTCAAGAAGTCGTTCTCCTGGGAGTAGCTCCACACCTTCCAAGTCATGTCCTGTAAATGCAATCTCCATGACTTCGCCAATAGCGAAGTTGAAGAGGAAAGGTTACAGCGGGCATCCTTGTCTCACACCGCTGGAGATATTGAAGGGTGGCGACAGCTTGCCGTAAGTCCTCACTCTGCCCGTGCTGCGCGCGTATTATGCTTGGATAATATTTACATATTTCTCGGGTACACCTTTCCTGAGTAGACAATTCCAAAGGGCACATCGATCAACCGAGTCGAACGCACCGTTTCAGGATACAACGTGGTATATGGAAGCATTTAGTTCGAAAACAGTTGCCTCTGAAGACGGCTAATTGCTTAAAGCGTGTATGCAACAGTGTTATCTGTTAGATGCAGCTGATGCAGCTGCTGATGTGCGATCATGCATGCACCGAGAACGATGATGTAACAACTTGATTCAAAAAGGGAGTTAAGAAAACAACATACTTTGCCATCGGCTCGAAATTCAGGATAAACTTGAGAATTTCAATCTTCTGTGTATCTGGCAAATTTTTCGCAAACTCAGCGATTGTGTTGATGATAGCGTCTTGGAATTGACGCTCCTCGGTGTTCACCTGGGCATCACTCGGTGAAGTGTCATCCAAGACTTGTGGAGTCTTATCTATACTGGTCCGAAGAATCTGTAAAAAGAAAGGGAAAGGTCAGTTTACCTACCGTGAGCTATACACCGGAGTACGGGTCGACCAAGTAATTATTGCTCAAGTCTCAAGGCTATAATAATAATAAGAAGAAAAGAGCTTGACAATTGTCGCAGTTCTGAATTCCAAAGTGATGTAGTTCCACTGGAAAAATGGCGTGCTGAATTTCCCATGAACATTCCCAAATCCAAGTGCAGCATCACGTCCTATAGATGCAGGGTTCCGCCGGGATGATTGTTTCTGCATAATATTCCATTCCATTTAGGTGACTTGCTTCGTGACTTAGGCCGCCGTTTATCAGGTTTGTTGGTTTCCAAAGAGGAGATAGAAAATACAGCGGCTAAGGTACGACAAACTGCATGTTTAAAATGTTTCGAAATACTGGTAGCTCGGATTGATGAATCAATTGTTCATTTGTTCTCCGAGCTTGGCGGTTTCCTCGCAAACGTTTCACCACCATGCGAGGTGGCATCCTCAGTGCAGTGATATGTAGCATACAAGCTTATAACAAGCAGTTAAAATTCCGCCGTTCAAACTACATGCTAGGGCACTAGTGGAATACCATGTCATCGGTTTCAATAGTATTAGAAAATGCGACGCGCGTGTAATAGATGACACACAGAAGCCTCTTACGAAAGTTCTGGGTTGCACGTCAACCCTCTCTAATAACGAACCGCTATGGCTTCGAAGATTAGAGCTGAATTCATGTCAGTTGTACAAAATTGTCTACTCAAAATCAGCCAGTATTGTAAAAATCTTCACCACATGACCTAAGAAAGAGAGACTATGTGATAAAACTGCTCAGTTGTGACATATCGCAGTGCTACCAAACAGACTTCTTCAAATTATCCGAAGTTAATATTCGATATGTAAGTAACTGTTTAAAAAACTGAAGAACTGTTTTGAGTTAGTTACACACATAAGTGTGTGTTTGAGAACGCGCTTGGTAATATCCAAGCACTACCGGTACTCACAGGAAAAAGCGAGGTTAAAGAAGGAAAGAAAAGATTTGCAGGCACAACGAGTGCCCACCTAGGTCGCCAACCATAATTTATTTTCGTTTTATAAGGTAAATTAGTTCCGTCTCTAGTTTCTTCCTTCTACCTCGTTACATCCGCTCACTCACACTGAAGGCTTATGAAGAACTTGGGCAGATTCGTAGGTTGGATAAATGAAAGTTCTGTTTGATTCTTGAGATCCGTACTGCTTCTTCCTTTACCTTTACTTACACAGAGGACCCACCGGTGGCCTGTGCAAACTTGAGCACATCAACTCCCATACCTAGAGTTAGATGAGAAACGCATTGACGCGTGCGAGACGAGGACATACCGGAAGTTGCATGTGTGCACATCTGTCAAAGAAAGCGCCACGGAGCCAAATGAGAGCAAAAGTAAGTGCAATACTTAACCGAATTGTTGAAGGTAAGGCGACAAGTGCCTTGAAGAACGGGACCTCCGGTGCAGGTCCGACTGTATTGCTTGGAATGCACGCAACGTACCGAGCGGTAACACAAATGGAGGCTCTTTGTATCCAAGCACAACCAGATAACAAGTACACAGTCGGAGAAGCGCTAGATGGCTGTTTGTCCCATTGTAACAAGTCAGAAGTGGGCAACCGCAGGATCCCGCTAGATCAGCGACTTAAGTCACTGAGCCATGATTGGTTTCAAACTGAGATATGGCGCGGCTCTTCACCGTCATACATGTTATGGACGTGTTGTAAATACGGCTAGACACTCAAGCAGAGCTGACTTCCTAGGCAATCTTGGTGGCCCGTAAGCCGCTAAGGTGATTACTAATTATTACTGAGCAGTATGGGATTTACTTTGCCCTTGAGTAAAAATCGTAGCAGCTAAACTCAGCTAGTCACCACACATCCAGAAAAGCGCTAGGCGGCCGTTCTATTAGCACAGCACATCTACTAGATCCTGTTAAAACCGAACCTATGACACTGATCATAGGAAACAGTGATTTAAGTCACTAAACTATGGGGGACGGTGACAGACCAACATGACTGATTGCTATCTAGCTCGGCTCATCCTGCACAGCCATGCATAAGATGAACGTGGAACGATAGAGTCGCCTCTCACAAGTACGATGCCACCAGTCGAGGTGACATGTAAACAGCTCGGGTTATTGCCAAATGTTAGAAAGCAGTGCCAAGAGTTGTAGGTCTAAGGAGAACCGAGTGTTATTTCTGTAGCTACAAATGTGTAACCAGAGACAGAAAAAACAATAGGTTTGCTCGATATTCCTCTTGGATTCACAGATACGAAATTCATGCGGGTAGCATACTATTAAAGCGCATTCATTAAATGTTGGCCGGTAAGATACAGAATATGGCGATTAACGGGTAGGTGAATAATTCAGATCAGGAAGAGTAGGGATTTGAAGTCACCGCAAGCGATTGAGGCGACGGGAAAAAATATATCTAATCACTTAAAGCTAGTTGTGTAGAGACAGCCAATAGCGCATTTGATGTATTATGTGAGAGAAGGATCGTCCAAATTGAGGGGGGATTGTCTAGGAATAACAGTCGCATAATCAGATGGAGAGGTACTGCTAAGGTTTTAAATAACAGAAACAAAAATGGCTGGGATACAGTAAGGAAAGACATTGCCGCTGAGTGTAAAATCCAGTGAGTATTTACAATAGTGCGCCGGTGGTTAAACAAATAATTTGGTTGTTATAAAAGCTACAAACGAAACTTAGCGACTGCAAAAAGCGCCACGCAATCTTGGGACCGAATGAGCAGATGTCGTGTAAAGTTTTATGACTATTAAACTACTGATATAATTCAGTAGCATAAAATGAAGATAAAAAGTAGAAGCGCGAATAGTGCTGGTCACGCAATGCGTGGAAAAATGACGGCCTTACTTGGCGTTGGGCAAGTATGGTCCCAGCGTTGAAGTGTAAGGGATTTATTGTTCAAAAAGGATAACGCGAAGACATCAAAAAATAAAAAAAACAAGCATTGAATAGCTTGAAGTGAGAAGCAGGAATCATTGAGTGTGCTGGTCAAATACGAATGTACTAATCAGTGCCAACGCTGCCGGAGTGTTCAACCAGTGGTCGAACTTGAGGGTTCTACGTAGAAAGGAGTAAGCTATTAAACACAACCATTCCAGCGTAAGAATATCGCCAACTCACTGTGTAATCTACCGATCAACTCGTGGAGGTGATATCAGGGAACAACACGTTGAGAGGTGGAGAAGCCAAGAATGCTAGAAAAGGTAACTGATGTAGTAAATTAAAGTCTGGAGCATGATCCAAAGTGACGCTGGTGGTATAAACCATTAAAGAAAACGAAATGAAAGGAAGAGAACACGTAAAAACATCAACGCAGAGTAGGAGAAAAGGAGAGTCTAAACAAACCAAGGCTAAAAGCGAGTAATTAATGGACAAAGGTAAGGAAAATAGAGTAGATGAACGTAAACCCTAGTAGGTTTCCAATTGACCAGCTGGCTAGCCAAACAACGTTCTTGTCGTGCCAGCTGGGTGGTTCGGGTTTAAGCCGTTACAGCAAACAGCTCAGCGGCAGTGTTTCAGGACGTAATGGGTTTTCGCCTAGCAAGTGTTATAATAAGCCATAAATGTCTGTTTAACAACACTGCGAGGTGATGCGTGACTCGCCCCTAAATAAAGTCACTACACCTTGCTTCGCCCCGGTGGAGCATTTTATTCCACCAGTCTTGTGCAGAAGTTATGGAGAGGATGAGTGCCTTACCAAACCGAGAAGTCTGTCACCGCCTTCCAATGAGCGCGAACAGCCCAATTCGTCCCGCTGCCTTGCGGGTAAGCTGTCCAGCTAAAGGCTCAGGGTGGAATACCCCAAGACAACTCCCTACATCAGATTCGGCAACCGAGTAGTATCGTGCCCGCCGCAGAAATCACGAATCACATCACTACTTCGTCGCATGTTCCCGTTCCTCTCTCCGTCACCAATTTCCATCACAAGCCATCTACCCGTTGTCAATCGTATGTTACCATCAAATTAATCCCTACACCGATTTCGATGTCACACACAAAGTCCGGCCTGAGGCAATTCTTCGACCTTGATTCTTGACGCGGCTGGCAACGTTCAATGTTCGTGCTCTCATGCAGATTGGGGAAGAGGCCGGTCTAGCATGCATTCTGGTCTCGCTCGCTATTGATATATGCTGCCGATCCGAAACTAGTTTGCAAGATCCGAGCAATGTGCTCAAGTTGACTTCTCCGACGTATCAGTGAGTCACATACAAACTACGTCTTCTTTGGATGCAGAAGCGACTGCATCTGGTTTAGCAGACAATGGTGTAGCAGTAAGCAGCAAAGCTGAGGCCGCATTACTGGACTGGTTTCCAGTCAACAGCCGATTAGGTGCAGTTCGGCTTTAAGGTTTATGCAGAATTAACATGCACCGCGCTGAAATGCGCAACCTGTTCATGGTCTGCGCCTATGCGCCAACCGATTGTGGCTGTGAATCGGTCAAGGAAGACTTTTAATGCCAACTTTGACAGCTTTTGTGCAAAGCGGCCAAATCGAATGTCGTCGTCAACGGACTTCAATATACCTGTACGTCGCCTGCTGCCAGGTGAAAATCACGCACTGCACGAGAATCACTCTGATAACGTAACCAGGTTTCTCAAACTGTATGAAATGGCTTATTACTCGCAATCACCATCTTCAGACACTCGAGGAGACGTCCTGCCGCTTTGCGACCTCGTTCATTAATGCAGACCTGACCTCAAATAGACTACATCGCAATCAGTTTCAAGCTGCGAGGTAGCATACATATTTGCATTTTCGTCTACTTTGATTCTGATCACGTACTGGTTTTTGCGAACATGTGCATACGCTTTGGAGGTCCTCCCAAACGGAAGCATTGTAAGCTTGATACGAACAGGCTAACAGCCGATCCGTCGACTAAGATGAACTAACAACTGTCATTGGCAAACGCCATTAATTGGTGCTCCTTCCGCTGACGTCAAACTGCATAGGAACTTTTTGCAGAATACCATGCTATTTTTGGTCAACCAGTCTGCGGATTCACGTATGAGCTCTCAAAAAACGGAATCATAGAGTGCTCCCTGAGAATGTTCGAAAGTCGCCGAGCTCTCTCACGTAGCTTCAATCCGAATCGAGCACGCCTCGCTGTCAGGTGTCAACTCACACGAAACCTTCATGGTGAACTTGAAGCTTTGTGGTCTCAACGCGCCTTGGAGATGGAAACCACCGCCATTTCTGGAAACACTCGCAGGCTGTTTCAGCTCGTTCGGATCACTGGTCACAGGTCTGATGTCAGCGAGGATATCTGAGACGCGGATGGGTCACAAATCACCAGCTTGCAATAGCGCATGGACAGATGGTTTGACCATTTTCAATCTCAGTGCAATTCTTCCTGTCGGCCACTTTCACTCAGTTCGCCCTGTAGTACGCCATGGGCGGTGTCACCCGAATCACCCACAAATGTTGTACTTCACCTTGAAGTAAAACATTTGAAGCGCGTTAAAGGTGCTAGTTTAGACGAACTTCCTCCAGAACTGTACAAATGTGGTGATACGGAAAATGTCACACAGATAACATCCCTATTTCTGAAGACCAGAAGAGAAAGGGTCCCCTTTGCATGGGGGAAGGCAATTACTGTTCTAGTCTGCAAGAAAGGCTACCAGACTTCATGTTTCAATCAAAGAGGAATCAGTTTGATATTAGTTGCCTCCAAGCTGCTAGTATACATCATGTTGCGCAGGCTATCGTCCACTCGAGAGGCGAACTATTGGGAGAAGCAGCCTGAATTCCACCCCACTCGAGGTCGTGTAAATCAAATATTCATGCATCGTCAGCTCCTTGAACATCGCCAAGTGTACCGCAGGTCCACCATCGACGTCTTCCTGGACATTTGGGCTACAATAGACTCGATAGACCGACCTGCCTTATGGCATCGCCTCCTAAGGAACGGAATCTCGGAAAAGTACGCAGCTATTCCTCAGGCGCTATACCTCCATACTTCAGGCAGAGTAAGAGCCTACGGCAAGCTTTCCACAGTCTTCCATGTCACCAGTGGTGCGCGACAAGGATGTCCTATATCTCCATTTCTTTTCAACCTCGTGATCGAAGATGTCCTGTTGGGGGATTTAGGGGACATAGAGAAGTTTGGAATTGAGCTCCTTCCAGGTAATCGTGCAACCGACAGATTACCCAGATGTTATCGGCTTGCTCGGTGACGACCTCTACGGCATGCAATTGATACTTGACCGACTATTGCTGAAGCGTCCAAGTATGTGCCTTGCCCCCTCAAAGTGCAAAGTGCTGGCACCGGATTGGCAGAATGCTGTCCCTGAGCTAGCCATGGAAAACACTCGGCTTGAACAAGTGGATAGTTTTGTTTACCTTGTGAGCAGTGTCTCCACTAGCGAAACTATTGAAGAGGAGGTTTCTTTGCGTATCGCTAAAGCCCGCTCGGCATGTCAATTTGAGACAATTGTGACATAGTCGCGACATCTCGCTTTTGCTAAAGGCAGAGTTTACAATTCTTGGGTTCGAGCGATACTTTTGTATGGATGCGAATCATCATCATACACGTTAGCTAAAGGTGGGGAACACCTCAGCTACTGTGCCGCAATACATAGAAAAAAAGGAGAAAAAAAAGCAACTGGTGCAAGCTGGCTGAGCTACCGGTAACGGATGGGCATCGTTCAGGTAAGCTACCAGCCGGCTGCTGTGCACCAAAAAAAATTACTACGCAAAATTATATAAGGCTAAATAATGAGATCGTGGTTGGAGGGGGAGGCTAAGAGGGATGGGTGGGACAAAGAAACTCACAGCACGAATGCCACTGAGGTCGGCTCCTAGCCATATCAGCAAGTGTGTCCAACCAAACGTGTTCATCGTCTTTCGGACCCCAACCAAGCAGCCGAGACGCTCCAACCGAGGCCAGCTCAGAAGTCAGGGCCTTCATTCCTCTGGACCAAGTCATCGCTTGGCCACCCCTTCTCTTCTTCCATCCACACCCCCGCCGAGCAAAAAACGCAGTCGCGGAAGTCGGTGGGCTGGCATGCGTAACATGTGGCCGAGCCATCGGAGCCTGATGCGTGAAATAACGGTGCTGAGCGGTTCAGTTCCTTTTCTTGTGCCATAAACAAGGCGTCGAACACGCTTTTTGCTCACGCGGTGCTCCCACCAGATGTGAGCTAAATTACGAAGGCACCGGTGGTCGAACGTAACTAGCCTCTTCAGGTCCGCTGTTTAAGCGGCCAGGTTTCACAACCGGACCAGGAGGCTGAGTTTGTCTGGCCTCTAACCATTGACCAATCTGGTATGAGTGACTCTGAAGGTGCAAAAGCACCATCCAGTATAGCTCAATGGATCACTGAGGCACACAAACCATCGCACCACGGTAAGGTCCAGCCTCATTGCGATGGGATGCGAATCCTGGTCGATATGTGCGCATGACGTGCGCTGTCTAACGGCCCTCGACAACACTTGCCTGTGGAGGATCGCCCGCGTATGGTGGCAACAACAGGTGTGCAAAGATAAGATCAGACAACGCATCTTTGATGAGGCTGATCTCTCGCTTTATGGATTGTTCTAGTGCGCCAGTTGAGATGGCTTGACCACGTCTAACGCACGTCTGGCGAACGATTGCCACGCCGCGCCCTATTTGTGAATGCAGAGCTGCAATGGAAAAGCCGTGTAGGGACCAGCCCATAAGCTGGCGAAAACGTATCAAATCAATGACATCTGTCTATCAATTGCTGGTCCGATACGCCTTCCCATTTGGGGACGGAAAGATAAAGAGTACCGATGGCTTACAACACTCGAAACACACACAACTAGTTTCAGTGGAAACAACGCGCGCAAGTATGCATGAACTCCCGAGTTAAAGGTACTATTCCTTAAAAATGACAAAACAATTGAAGAAACGGCGAGGGAAAAAGAGTAAAAATTGCTCTTTGATTATGTCATAACCCGAAGGAATAAAGCCGGGAGGCATGTGGATGGGAGCTACGTTTCATCAACAGAGCCGGCCCACACTCCTTCACAGGCAAACACAAACACGCTGTATTTGGGGAATCAAGCGCACACACAAGGCGGTGGCTGGACTGTAGTACGCTCCGCACTGAGTGCATGAAACCGCTCTTCGAGCCCAGCACGACCACAAGGACCGTGCACCCCGTCCCCACCAGCAACGAAAAACTGTCTCCTGGAGCCAGTATGAACGAGATAGTGAATAATAAACACGTAGGCACCTTGTCAACATGCACATCAAGCGCAGTCACACCGGGGATATCAATCAACAGCCAACCACTTGAAACGACAAGATGAAATAAAATAAATTCAATAATGCATACAGATACGGTCGCATAACTCTTCGCTAAATTAGCATATGAAGTAAGTTGGTTAGCAACGAATTCGCAATAAGAAAAAAATGTCCACAAATTAGGCAAAAAATGATGCAAACGCAACAAAGTTACCGAAAATAAGCGCAATTAGCGTAAGCAATGTGTGCAAGTTAATTGAAGATTATTTAGGTAGGCAGAAAAAACCAATTAAAGTGGAATGAAATTTATCCAGCCTAAAAAGTGAAAGTTGAAAGCAAAAGTGAAAGTTGATGTAACCCAACTGCGGTGAAGAAGAATCGTGAATGCAACATCAGCCTCAGCATGGGGTCGTGCATAGAACGCTGTAAACGGAGTTCCGTGAGGCAGCAATGATAGTTATTTCAAGAGCGCAAACAAGAGCAGCCTGCGATCTCATCTAAATAAACGTCTGGACATTGAAGGTAGCCAGAAAAATCGGGGGTGGCGCTAGGAAAGCCTTGTCGATGTGATTGGGCGGCGCACCCTCGGATCTGAACTCTTGAAGTGTGCGGCCAGAATTCTCGTCCAAGGTGGTGAACACGAAAACGGACATCGTCAATCATCATCATCAACACATAGTAACCGAGGGTGGGAAACATACCTCAGCTAATGTGCCGCAATACAAAAGGACAAGTGATTACACATTAGACTACAAAAGCGAAAAAAGTAACATAATGCTAAAATCACATTATGCATTGTATTCGAGATCGATGTTAGGCGGTAGCTAAAGGAGAGGAGGGACAAAGAGACACAACACAAACGTCACGGAAACGGACAGGATTTACCAAGGATGGAGAGACTGGACGAACGCGAGATAAATTAATGGGACGGTGGTGCGGCAGACCGCGGTCTGGTAGATACGGTCGAAGTTAGGAGCTCCAAGGAGCAAAAAGAGAGAGCGAGCAGAAAAACGCTGAAACGAAGGCAAGCGGAGAAAACGAAACCGCACAATTAGGACGGGAACAAGATGAGTTCATCACGAACTGAGATTGACTTAAGGTGCTGAGAAGGAATGGTAGTGGATCGCCACCAATAGGATAACCATAGCAGGAACGCCGTTGGCCAGAATCACCATAAAGGACTGTTTCATCAGGAAAAAAAATGCCAGTTACCAGAGCGACAGGTGCCAACAGAGTGCAGTAGATTGCATCAGACAGGTAGTACCGTAGCACATGCGATAGAATGTGTGCCTCAGTCGAGTCGTTTTGGCCACGAGAAACCAATATTGATGAGACAACTAGTAAGTTGATTGACTAGGTATAAATGAGGCATAAGTACGCTGTTTCCGGATCCAGGTCAATAATGCGGTGCATGTGGTACGTGTGCTGTATCGTCGCTAAAGTTGGTCTGTACATGTGCCTGTGTTGTATCATATTTCACAGTGTCTGGGATTGATATCCCCGGTCCCGCTGCGCTTGGTGCGAGTGTTGATCAGGTGACTAACTGTCGAGAAAGCTTTACATAAATTATACAAGATCTAGGAGACAGTTGGTCGTTTCTGAGGGATGCACAGTCCTCGTGATGGCTCTAGACTCGAGGAGTGGTTTCATTCAATGTGGAAAAGGCTATGGCCCAATTACCGCCTTATTTGCATATAGCATTTATGTTCCTCCATAAGAAAAAGAACGATATGTCTGTTGTAAGTGTGGGTCGGCTCTAATCTATATGCTTCTCAGTCTTATTCCTTCGGGTTCACATTACATATGGGAAGTGTAGATGGAGCTGTGATTGGCGTAGCGCAAGACACCTAAAGCCGCTCTGCAGACGCAGGCATCCTGTAATTGTTCAGAGTCCTAATCACAGATAAATCTGGTAATGGACGCTGCCAATCATCAATGTCTTTAAGTACCACCGCATCGCAATCAAGTAGACCGGATCTGCAGCACTTTGGCAGCAAAATTATGGTCCGTTGTGTGCTCAGTCACGCGACGTGCACCTTCAAAGTACAACTAGACGTAATGACGTGACTGATTGGAACAAAAAGTTCGCTGACAAACCAATTGATGGAACACATCGCCGAGGATATTTCGATGCAAATCAGAGAAGCCGACCAAATGATACGCAGCAATTAGCGATGCAGATAGAGATGAGGTTGTTGGACAAATGGAGTAGATGAAGTCAGGACACGATCACAGCTGGTCCATGGATTAGGAGAGGGATTGACACATGGTAAAGGCAACAGTTAAAGCTGATGACCAGGGCTATAAAGCGCTGATTATAGAAAAATAGGTGCATACGCTACTCACTGCGAACCATGCGATTTTTCGACATCTTCAAACAACGTTAAAGCATGGTGAAAGTAGGAAATGGGTATGGATTTCGCAAGATATTCGCCGCATCTATACTCAGCTAGACAGTCATCCCGTCACCAGAAAAGCATTGGACAGTCACTATATTTTGGGATTCGTTTGTAACGCGAATTCCATCCGCACGATGAGGAACTAGAACTCGCGACTGATGATAATAGAGTCGGTGACTAGGATTACCGGGCCACGATGAATGAGTGACAGTCTAAGTTTAAACTGCCGAGGGCGAGTTTCATCTCCATTGCCGAATCAATATTATCTGATAGCCTCATAAGATACTTTGGCAATTAGTAATTTTCCAAGGTGAAATAATTACTTGCTTTATCGCTTCAGGCTATTCGGTGGTACTTAGGTTCGCTACCCTTAGGTTTTTTGTTATGACGAGAGATTTAGCACCTAAACTGAATCCACACAAAGTATCATCCAAGAAACAAACGTCCATGTGAAAAAACGAGAACTAAAGCGGCGTGAACAGGATGCGGCCGAGTGAATGGGTCATGTAAACCAACGTCCCCATTATGACCAGTGGCCTTGAACAGACCTTAAATCGGTCAAACTATCGAATATGTGCTGTATTGTACAAGTGAAACGTGGTACACAGAAGGTGGATAGAGAGAGATCAATTCGGTTGAGGACAATGCAGCTAAGTTACGCCTCTGTGCGCAATGACCTCAAGTTACGACCAAAGTGATGCGGGTGAGCTCCACATCAAACGTCAGTGATCCACAACGAATCGGAAACAAATGAAAGACGCAGGATATCGCTGCTGCAGAGCAGATAGGGCGGACTTGAAAACGCACGGTATCAAAAGCAATGGTTTTAAATCAGTGATTTGAACTGATTCTTCACCGCGCCACCACAATGGCGACAAAGGGAACGGAGATTAATAGAGAAGCAAGGGTAATGTAGTGTTAAACCCAAGGCAATCTAAGCAAATATTCTGAGGCAATTCACCTCCAACGTCTGAGGTTGAAATTCGAAAAACACTAGAGTGAAGCCTTAGAAAATTCCTTGCCAAAACACCAGCTGATAAAATTCAGTGTTGCTCACTCGTGTAGCCACTGGTAATCAAACCCTGCCAAGTATTTAATGTCTCCAGGGCGAAATGGCCAGGCCTCTGATCCATACAGTACGACGGGCCTTACCGCAGCGTTATACGCCCTACCTATCAATGACAAGGTGACATCTCGCCGTCTCTATAAATAGCTGAGTCTCTCGAAAGCCACAGGGGCCTTGCTGATGTGCGAAGTAACTTCCTCAGTGATGTGACCACCAGAGGTGACATAACTAGCAAGATAAGTGAACAGAGCCAGCACTTCCAGTGGCTGCTCTGTGCTAGCACCGGTAACATGTCGGTCCAGTCCTGCAACTGTACTTTGCAATTTGAAGGTGCAAAGTACATGTCGAGCAATGCAGCGCTACACGTCAGTCTGTTTAGGAGTATTTGCATACAAAACTAATTCCGACCCAAGGAGAGCTGTCGTTAGCGTACTAAAAATCTGTCAGTTGATCACCAAGCAGAACTTCAGGAACAGACGGAGTGAACGAAATCATTTCATCATCATCATCATTATACACATCAGCTAGAGGTGGGAAAACACCTCCGCTATTGTGCCGCAATACATGAAAGAAATACATGGTTGGCGGCATCCGGTTTCGGATTTGCCTGTCACTGTGGCCAACCACAGGACGCCTGCGCCTACAGAGGGACCATGGATGGCTTGCGCTGCACCACCCACAGCTCCAACCACATACCCCATATCCAGTGTAAACCCGAAGGAATAAGACCGGGAGGCATGCGGATGGGAACCACGTTTCATCAACGGAGCCGGCCCACACTCCTTCACAGGCAAACACAAGCACGCTGTATTCGGGGAAACAAGCGCACACAAGGCGGTGGCTGGACCGTAGTCCGCTCCACACTGAGTGCATGGAACCGCTCTTTGAGCCTAGCACGGCCACAAGAACCGTGCACCCCGTCCCCTCCAGCAACGACCAACTGTCTCCTGGAGCCAGTATGGACGAGGTAGTGGGTAATAGACAGGTAGGCACCTTGTCAACATACACATCAAGCGCAACCATACCAGGGATATCAAACAACAGCCATTCACTTTAAACGACAAGCTGAAAGAAATACATACATACATACATATAATACAATACACAAAGGAAAAATAGATACAACACTTGCATGCCAGCTGAGCTACCAGCAACGGATAGGCATCGTTCCGGTAAGCTTTCAGCCAGCTACTAGGCAAAAAGGAAAAAAAATTCTAAATTATGCTTTACCCTAGGAAATAAGATCGTAGGTGGAGGGGGAGACTAAAAGGGATGGGGAGGGACAAAGAAACTCACAGCACGAACGCCACTGAGGTCGGCTCCTTGCCATGTCAGCAAGTGTATCCAGCCAAACGTGTTCACCGCCTTTCGGACCCCAACCAAGCAGCCGAGACGGTCCTACTGAGCCCAGCTCCGAAGTAAGGGCCTTCATTCCTCTCGACCAAGTCATCGTTGGCCACCTCTCTTCTTCTTCCATCCACACCCCGGCGCGCGAAAAAAAGCATGTCGCGGAAGTCGGTGGGCTGGCATGCGTAACACGTGGCCCAGCCATCGGAGCCTGGTGAGGGATATAACGGTGCTGAGCGGTTCAGATCCTTTTCCTGGACCGTAAACAATGCGTCGAACACGCTCGTTCCTCACGCGGTGTTCCCAACAGATGAGCCAAACTGCGAAGGCACCGATGGTCGAACGTAACTAGCCTCCTCAAGTCCGCCGACCTTACGGGCCAGGTTTCGCAACCGTACAGTAAGGTCGAACGTACCGCTGCATTGTACACTCTACCCTTCAGGGCGAGAGTGATGTCGCGCCGCCACCATAGGTGGCGAAGGTTAGCAAAAGCACTCCGAGCTTACGCGATACGGTTCGTGATCTCGTCTTCGATCCCAAGGGCGCTGATACAACTTCCCGGGTAAGTGACTTTCTGAACGACTTCTAGCTGAACCCCACCAACAGTCAGCACAGGGGGCGATCCTCGCCAATCTTGGAGGAACGCTTTGCATCTCTATGGTGCAAAGCAAAGCCCGAAGCGGCTGACAGCCAGTGCTAATCTGTCCAGCGCCGCTTGGCACGTCTGGGAGCTGTCACAGATGAGGGCAATGTCATCTGCATACTCCAAGTCAAGAAGTCGTTCTCCTGGGAGTAGCTCCACACCTGCTAAGTCATGTCCTGTAAATGCAATCTCCATGACTTCGTCAATAGCGAAGTTGAAGAGGAAAGGTGACAGCAGGCATCCTTGTCTCACACCGCTGAAGATATTAAAGAGGGGCGACAGCTTGCCGTAAGCCCTCACTCTGCCCGTGCTACGCGCATATAATGCTTGGATAATATTTACGTATTTCTCGGGCACACCTTTCCTGAGTAAACAATCCCAAAGTGCACATCGATCAACCGAATCGAAGGCACCTTTGATGTCCAGGCACACGACAACGGTGGGCCGCCAATATATGTGACGGTGCTCCAACAACTGACGCAAAGTGAAGATATGGTCGATGCAGCCACGACCCCGACGAAACCCGGATTGCTCCTCACAAATCTGGCTTTCACGAGCGCCAGTCAGTCTGTGAAGGATTATGGAGGCGAGTAATTTGGAGGCGACGGAGATCAGACTGATTCCTCTATGGTTGCCGCATTCCGAACGCGAGCCTCCTTTGAAGATGGGAACAATAACGGAGCGGCTCCAGTCGGTTGGGACAGTCTCCTGCTCCCACAGTTTCACTAGTAATTTATGTAAAGCATCAACAAGAGCAGAGCCTCCGAATTTGAAGAGGGCTGGAGGAAGATCATCTGGTCCCGCGGCTTTGTTCAACTTCAACAGTCCGATCTCACGTTCGACTTCTGAGCGAGAGGGTGGATCCAAAGGGACAGCCCACGGAGCAGGGCGATCACTCGCCGGCGAAGAATCGAACAATTCTAGCCGATTAAATTGCTTTTTAAAATGCTCAGCCCAACGCTCCAAACGTTTTGACAAATTGTGAATAGGCTGTCCACTCTCATCACAAATTGTTTCACTAACACCAGGCCTCCTGCTGCCCGTTTCCCGTATCAGATGGAATAACTTACGATGGTTGCCAAGGGCAGCGGCCACTTCCATCTCTGACGCACGATGAGACCACCAAGACTCGCGGTCACTCTTCAGACTAGCACGGAGTTTTGCCCGGAGCTCTTTGCGAGTTTCATTGTGCTCGCTTCCATCCGGGATATGCCGGCGAGCGTCGATAAGTTCCAGAGACCGAGAAGAGACCCAATGTCCATGTTGGCTTTTAGACATACCACATGAGGATTTGTCCGCTGCTAGTAAGGTCTGGAGAACATGTGATCAGTGACCATCAATTGTCTTCAGTGAGCGATTGGTCAACTCGCATGTCAGCGTACTTTGATACGTATTCAGAACAGTTGGCTT